AGATGAATTCACACAGCACAAAGCAGTTTCTCAGAAAGTTTCTTTCCTGTTTTTAATCCGAGGACATTTCTATTTAAACACAGGCCTCAAAGCACTCCCATATATCTCATTGCAGATTCCACGAAAACATGTTAGCAAACTTCTCAATGAAAACCACTGGGCAACGCTGTGAGATAAATTCACACTTCACAAAGCTGTCTCTTAGGAAGCTTCTTTCTAGTTTTTATCTGAGGATATTTCCTTTGTCACCATAGGCTTCGAAGCGATCCAAAGCATTGCTTCACATATTCCACAAGAACAGTGCTAGCAAACTGCTCCATGAAAGAGCCATGTAACTCTGTGAGATGAATTCACACATCACAAAGTAGTTTCTCAGAAAGCTGCTTCTAGTTTGTACCTGAGGATATTTCCTTTTTCACCATAGTCCTCAATGCCCTCCCAAATATCGCACTGCAGATTCCACAAAAACAGTGTTACCAAACTGCTGAATAGAAGAGTGGTGTAACTTTATGAGATTAAATTATACCTCACAAAACAGTTTCTCTGAAACCTTCTCTCCAGTTTTTATATGAGGCTATTTCCTTTCTCCCAATAGCACTCAAAGCGCTCCCAATATCCCATTGCAGATTCCATGACAACAGTGTTAGGAAACTGTTCCATGAAAGGAAAGGTGTAACTCTGAGAGATGAATTCACACAGCACAAAGCAGTTTCTCAGAAAGCTCCCTTCTAGCTTTATCTGATTATATTGCCTTAGTTAACCATAGGCTTCAAAGTGATCCAAAATAACCCCTTCTCAGATCCCACAAAAACAGTGCTGGCAATTTGCTCCATGAAAGAGTAGTGTAACTCTGTGACATGAATTTGCACATCACAAAGCAGTTTCTCAGAAAGCTTCTTTCTAGTTTTTATCTGACGCTATTTCCTTTTTCACCATGGGCTTCAATGCAATCCAAGGTATCTCTTCTCAGATTCCACAGAAGCAGTGCTAACAAACTCCTCCAGTAAAAGAATGGTGTAGCTCTGTGTGTGTGAGATGAATTGACACATCAGGAAGCCATATCTCAGAAAGCTTTGTGACATATTTCTAGTTTTTATCTGAGGATATTTGAGGATATCCTCAGAAACATATTTCAAGTTTTTATCTGAGGATATTTGCTTTGTCACCATTTGCTTCAAAGCGATCAAAAATATCCTTTCCACAAGAAGTGCTAGCACACAGCTCCATGAGAGAGTGGTGTAACTCTGTGAGATGAATTCACACAGCACAAAGCAGTTTCTCTGAAGGCTTCTCTCCAGTTTTTATATGAGGATATTTCCTTTTTCACCATACTCCTCAATGCCCTCCCGAATATCCCACTGTAGATTCTGTGACAACAGTGTTAGCAAACTGCTCAATAAAGGAGTCGTGTAACTCTGTGAGATGAATTTACAACTCACAAAACAGTTTCTCTGAAGTCTTCTCTCCAGTTTTTATCTGAGGATATTTCCTTTCTCACCGTAGTGCTCAATGTGCTCGCAATATCCCATTGCAGATTAAACAAAAACAGTGTTAGTAAACTGTTCCATGAAATATTGGTTTGACTTTGTGAATGGAGCAATGTTGGAACATGCTCAAGAAGATATTGTATCCGAATTGAAGTTTATTTTCAGTTACACTGAATCGTCTCTTCCCAAAGTGCTGGTGGGTAACATAAAGTTAGAGATAAACAGCTCTAGTATTCTCACACTTACTCTCCCATAACGGTCTATGAGCCAGGCTAGTTTCCATATTCTGTAAAATACCCTGTGATGCATAAAGGGTTCCCAAGGAGAAGAATTGTTTGACAGGGTGATCAAGGTTTATGAAAAATGGCAATGTCTCCGAATATTCAATACCAGTAGAACATAATTAACTCTAGCATTGATGTCTTTTTTAATTAAAATATGTAATTCAAGACAAAAGCTGTTGAAACTTTAAATGATTTTGAGCCTTAAAAGAATGAGATTATGGGACCTGAGTCACTAACAGATAGCTGTAACCTAGGAAGTTGTAGTATTTGTTGCCCTGATTATAAATTGGCCTTTTTCCATTACCTACATTGTATTTGAGAATATTGTAAAAGACTAACGAGTGCCAGAGAAGACCCTTTCCCTCTTTACTTTTGATCTTCTTTATTGGTTAACTTCCTTCTTCCTCATGTTACACAAAGACCTCATGACTATTACATTGTCAAAGATAAAATACTAAAAATACTCATTTAAATTGGAAAAAGAAAACAAGCTGTAACTAATCAATTTGCTGTAACTCATAAATCAACTTTGTATGGGGAAATTTTTAATTCTGCTAAATTTCTTTGTTTTCTGCCTACGTAAGTAAAACCTTAACTTTTCAACTTTGGGGCATTGACCTCATTTCTTTGGATTCTATGTTTCCCAGATGGCCATCTTTAGCTTTGCATTTGAATAAACACTTACACCGGATTCTCATCCTATCTATTATTTCAGGTTGACATTTCTGTTGTCACCATTTTCTCAGTTATATTTATCTTTTGTGTCTTTTTTCTTCAGTATGTCAACACCCTTCTGGTCCCATCTTGTTTGACTTCATGAAAGAAAACCACTGTCCAGAGAAGGGATCTCAGGACAATGACTCCACTCAACCATGTTTAAGTGTGGTGGTCCAGTTTGATTATGAACCATTTCAGGGCCAGTATTATGGTGCACTCCCATCTACACTGCGGGAACTATCATGCTTATATTAAAATTTTGTGCCTCTCATCAATATATTCAACCAGAAAGTTGCACTATACATGTCACAGATCCTTTCATATCACTGAGAGAAGAAAAAACTTTTTCTTTATTTTGCATGTTTGTATATTGTACAGCTATTGATGGTCTGGATACTGGTCTGTGCTTACCACTCAGTACTGTGGACCACAGCAATGAAGATTGTGCTGATTTCAGCTAATCTTTAACACTATACTACTTGCACCTGCACTCAATTTCTGCAGTCTCCCTCTTCTCATTACCAACACCAACACCAGGCTATGTGTTCTACCTCCCATTTTACTTGATCTCCACTTGGGACCCACGATGAAGCCTCTTACATATAAATAAAATATTTCCTACTTAAACATCCTGCAAGAGTTAAGAATTTGTAGTCAAAATGATTTATCTGAGTGATCTTCCTTCACTTGCTACATGAAGGTGATGCTAAAGATGGGTATATTTTATGCACACAAATACCTGCTTTCCTTAGACCTCAGTTTTTTATTTGTAAGACAAAGGGAATAGATCAAGTTTCAATGTATTTCCACATTTAAAACTCTATATTCCCATAAAATTTTAGGTACATGAAGCAGAAGCTGCAAAAGTCAAATTATAACCCATGCACACAGACCTAAAGAAAATACACAAAATACTATAGGATTCAGGAATTGTGCTTAGCCAGTGTTAACATCAAGAACTGTCCAGATTCACAGATATTGAATAGGTGATGTTGCTTTTCTTGTCTACTCGGCTATATCCAACCCCATTTCCTAAAATTGTAATCTGTGTACTTTTCAGTATTTTGTATATTGTCATCCAAACTACACAGTGGTTCTAAATTATAGAACATGAGGGAGATTTCTGATTTTGAAGCATGAGTACACTGATAAGGCACAAATTTCAGTTCAGTGCCTCTTTTATCTATGTTAATGCAAACCACATTCTCCAGTCACATCTGGAGTTTGAAAATGGGACTATATATTGGAGAACTACAGGATTAATAAATTATAATGAGATTATTTTGAGGTTGATATCAAGTATGGCCCTGTGCTTATCATAGCATAAGCCTAATTGTTTTTCTAAGTTTTATAAAGTCTTAAAAGTTTTATACATTTTATCTGAAGGGAAATTGCAGATAGAATTTGGAATTAGAATTAGACATGCGACACATACAATAAGTCAAATCTGTGATGACTTTGCTTCAAGTGAGAAAACAAGTCTCTGTAATACCCACACTGTAGTCTCTCACATCCCTAAATTCACAAAGACTTACTTTATTAGAGAATGAATGTAAAAGAAAAGCGTATTAGTCAGGGTTCTCTAGAGGGACTGAACTAGTAGGAAATATATATGTGTGTGTGTACACACACACACACACACACACAATTAAGTATTAACTCACATGATCACAAAGTCCCACAATAGGCCATCTGCAAGCTGAAGAGCAACGAGAGCCACTCCGAATCCCAAAACTGAGGAACTTGGAGTCTGATGTTTGAGGACAAGAAGCATCCAGCACTGGAGAAGGATGTAGGTTGGGAGGCTAGGCCCGTCTAGTCTTTTCACATTTTTCTTCCTGCTTTATATTCTAGCTGCATTGGCAGCTGATTAGATGTTTCCCACCCAGACTGAAGGTGGGTCTGCCTTTCCCAGCCCACTGACTCAAATGTTAATCTCTTTTGACAACACCCTCACAGACACAACCAGGATCAATACTTTGTATCCTTCAATCAAATCAAGTTGACACTCAGTATTAACCATCACAAAAAGAGACAGAGCAGGAATGTGAAAGAAGAAGAGGAGCAAAAATGGTAGTAACAGCAAGACTGAGAGAGCATTGAAATAAACATGGGAGTCAAAGATTTTGGAGAAGACAAAATTTTGGATTCTGTAAAGAATAGAAAAATATGTAACAGACACTACTGCTGGATTACAGCTTATTTTGTTCATCTATAAAATGAGATTTATTTGATCAGTGTCCTTCAGGATCTAAATTTACCTAGAGAGAAGACATATGGAAAAAATGGAGCTATCTATCACCCTTGTTTACAAGCAGTTTTACTCCAAAGCCACCTCAACCTTCAGCATAGTTAACATCTCCATTAATTAGCCTTTTTCCAGGTACCTGGAGAGAAGTGGGGGAAACAGGCAGCAAAGTTTAAGTTTGCATTATCTGTCAACACTAAAGCACTTCCAGTCAAAATGAAAAAATCTGACAAGCATGACCAACAGTTACAGAAGATTAAAAAGGAAGCTCAGATGATCATAATTTGGGTGGTATATAGATATACTTATCCCAACTTTATTGCATAATTATTCTTTCTGTACAAATATTTTCACAACTTGCTCTCGGATCTGCTTGGTCCTGACTCCATAAATGACAGGGTTAAGGGCAGGTGGGACAATCACATACAGGTTAGCCAAAAGAATATGGGTATAGTGGGGAATGTTTTGGCCAAAATGATGTGTCATAAAAGAAAAAAATGCTGGTATGTAAAAGCACAGCATAACACAGATATGAGAACCACAGGTATGGAAGGCCTTTAGTCGGGCATCTTGAGAGGGAAGGCGAAAAACAGCTCGAAGGATAAGCACATAGGAAGAAGAAATTAGGATCACATCCACAATAATATAAGAAATCACCATGAGCCCATAGATTATGTTGATCTTCATAGGTCCACAGGCCAACTGGGCCAGACCTATGTGCTCACAGTATGTGTGAGGTATGATGTTATGCCCACAGAAAGGCAGACGCAGAATGAGAAACACAAATGGGGTTACAAGAACTAAATTTCTTCCAACAACCACAGAAGCTAGAATACTGATGGTTTTATTAGTGAGGATCATGGTGTACTGGAGAGGGTTGCAAATGGCAACAAAGCGGTTGTAAGCCATGACCACCAACAGAACAGTCTCCATGCCTGTAAACATGTGAATAGAGAACATCTGAAGAAGGCAGCTCCCAAAGCTGATCTCTTGGAGGTTGAACCAGAAGATTCCTAGCATTTTGGGAATAGTGGATGTGGACAGACCCAGATAAATCATAGACAACATGGCCAGGAAGTAGAACATGGGCTGATGTAGACTGTGTTCGGTTTTGATCACAAAGAGAATGGTCATATTCCCCACAATGGCAATCAGGTACACAATACAGAATGGGAAAGCAATCCACATACGTAAAGTTTCCAGTCCTGGTATTCCTAGCAGGAGAAAGAAGCGGGGATAGAAGTGGGTGTCATTGACAGAAGGCATTCTCCCAGCAAGTGTCACTGAATTCCTAAGTAAGAAGGATCTCAATTTCTTTAAGGTCCTCCCTTGTCAAGTTCCTGAAGCTACAGAAAAACTCTTATCAGTGTGGTAGAGGTAATGGTATAGGTGGTTAATTTACAAACACTTGAGATTCACTTCTTTCCAGAGGGTAATGGAGGAAGCCTCTCAACACAGATTATTGTTCTGAGATCCATCATAGGCAATATTGCTCATGGCTTTATGTTTTGTAATCTTTGAGATATTTGAAAGAACTGGAAAAACTTCATAATGCAATGCATATTTATATTAAGGCATTCCCTTCCATTACTTCCCTAAGTAACCCTTCTTTACTTTTTGGGAAATCACCATCCCATGCGTTCTTCAAAGTGTGGTCTTGAGATCTTTGGAGTTTTCTAAGTACCTTTCCAGAAGCTCAAAAGCTCAAAACTATATTTATGATAGAAAATTTTTAGCCATTCTCACTCTTATTCTCTCATAAGTACATAGTGAAATTTTCCAGAGGTTGTATGAGATGTTACCATAATAGATTAAATGAAATTGTAAATGATTTATGAGATTTCAGCTCTATTATCTTAACTTAGACAATAAAAATATTTGCAAAGGAAAATGATGCCATTCTTACAACTAATTTTTTGAAAAATAGTGATTTTAACAAAAAGTATCAAATATGTTTTTGTATAATAGTTTGTTAATATTATTTTAATATTAAACATTTAAATTTTACTCTAATGTCTAATAATATAAATATTATGGATACAATTCAGAGAAACTAAAACTCTTTGAGTATCTTAATAATTTCTAGAAGTGACAGATTCTTAGTACAAAGGAGAAGTACTACTGTCTGCCACTTTCTGTGTTTTATTATAATATATGCGTAAGGATCTTATACAGTGACATCACATTAAGTGTAGTTAATCAGTCTCTGTTAGAACTTTCCTGGTTATAACTCAGCTAAACTGATCAGTGCGTTTCTCTTATGGATTAATTGCTAGTTTTGATGTTTCTAAATCTTCATGAACAATCTGGTTTCTCCAAGATCCTGTCATTCTGATTCCCTGATATCCTTCCAATAAAATGCCTTGCATGTATCTGTCAAATTATGTTTATCTTCCTTACAATCTATAACATCGATGAGTAATATTAAAAAAAAAATCCCATGTCCCAAAATTGTGTCTCACTTCAGGTGTAAACAGATAAATATTTAGCATATTTTAATATTGAAATTAAAATGTTTTTAAGGACTTTTCATTGCTTCCTTGACAATAACAAGGAAAATTTCCTTATTTTATCTTTGTGTCCCTAAAGACACTGTACAACTCTGTAGCAACTAATGTAACCTGGATTTTATATTTCTGCATGTACTGGCCTTATTTCTATGAAGAAAATAGCTGCAACTAAGAGTTGAGAACCAGGGGTAATCATTGTAGTATGCTCAAAACTGCCACATGAATGTTGGTTCCCAGTTGTTCAGTATTCAACTGAATCAGAGTTGGGGTTTGCAATAAGTGTGCTTTTGTTTGTGTGTGAGTGTGTGTGACAGAGAGAGAGAAAGAGAGAGAGAAGTTTGGAGAGATAGGAGTAGAGAGAGAAATCATGTTTTATTATGTATGTGGCTGCATACACCAGTTGTCCTATAACTTTGCCAGGTAGCTATTTTACAGCAGAGGCACACAGGCAAAGGGGTTAATAATTCCCCATTCTATATGAGAAGAACAAGAGCATCTCTTGGTCCCCGAGGAGCTGAGAGAAAACTGAAAAAAGAACATAATGTTTGCCAGTATTGAGGAAAAGATGCCAGGCTGAAAAACCAGAGGGCTGTGGTTTTTGTGATTTCACCTAGAAGAGTCTGAGGAAATAGCTAGGATGATGTGTTGTGAGATTTACAATCCAGAGTCAGCCCAATCTTAAGGGTGGTTGTGTCTCAACATGATACTTTGCCAACTGAGAAAAACATTCCCAGGGAGGTGGCAAAGGGGACACTTCTCTGACAGTACAATTCAAAGCTGCCACCACATCCACCCTCTCACAGTTTTACCTGAATTCTTGCCTTCTTTCTGTCATAACTTTATGCCACAGTAGCAGACAATGTATGGCCAATAACCTCAAGATCATTTTTTGAGGGCAAATTATTAAGTTTATTCTTCTCTAGATATGCACATTGACAAAGATCCCCACTGGAGTCCATCTGAAAAGACAAATTCATAATAATTAGCAATTTCTCTCTTATTGTGCTCACCAAAGTTCACATTTTGAACTTGAGATTATTTTTTTACTTTGTTGGATTTTTTTTTTCTGACTGTAGTAGAATATTATAGAGGTCTTCTGTGGACCTTAAAACTATTCAGACATGGCTTGAAAACCTGCTTAACCATTTACTTGCTTGAGATCCTTGGACAGATTCTTTAACCAGATAGATTAATTTTTTTCTCCTGTAAAAATGACATGATAAATTATAACTAATGTGGTTTATTTTAATGATAAATAAGACCAATGTTTGTATAGGTGCTAGTGCATAGTGTATCCTCAACAAATTATACTTACTTATTTTATCAATGCTCCCAAATATTTTCTTTATTTAATGCAAGATAGCTAAACTAATTCACCTGTTAGCAGAAATAAGTTATTTCATTGTAATAAGTCCAAATTATGTCACAGTCGGACATAAGATTAGATAAAGGATGGATGGATCAGAAGGGGCCAAAGTAAAGAAATGGCATGGAGTCAGACATTAATATTTATCTCTAGATTTTTATGGATACAAATATTACCCAATACTACCATTTAGAAAGGAAACAATTTTCTCCCCTTATTCTTACAGCTTTCCCAAGCTTGGTGAGACCAAAGCAGTTGATGAATGGACAAAGTGGATAAAGACCTTCATTCAGGCTCTTCCATAACTGTGCCATTGACGGTTCAGTCCAACTGATCTAGCTGATCTAGCAGGGGTACTGTGCTTACAATAAAAATGGCTTGGGTATGGTTCCATAAAGTAGGAGGGATACAGGGAACCAAGTTAAAATTGGCAATATTAAATTCACTCAGACAATGAGGGAAATAGAGAATAAAACTGTACAGACCAAATATGTTAATACCTATGTAATTTTATTTGAATATTGACATAAGTGATACCCCCCACCACCTTAAATAGACACATATAAATGAAGTCTGCAATAACATCTTTTTGTCTTATTGACAACAAGTATTGCCATGCTACTATATGACTGGATTTGTGGTGTTTTGTCTGTGAACAGTGTACTCTGTGAGAGTGTGTGTGTATGTGTGTGTTTGTAAGAGAAGGGAGTGGAGAGTGAGGGGAGAGAGAGAGAGAGAAACAGAGACAGAAATTCTGTGCATTACTAATTGGTACACCATTGCCCTCACTTATGGATGTCTGTTCCAATCCCATGTGCTCTGTTGTGTTCCTCTGTGAAGAGAATAGTGCAATGGTGCTTGGGATAATTCCTCAGAAAAGTGGAAAAATCTGGCTTCTTCTATCGTCATTTGCTCTCCTCTCCTCTGTATCTTCTCAATTCTCCTGCACAAGCATTCTTACCTCTCTAATATTTCTTCTCCCAGACCTCACTTGGAGCAGAATTGCAGCATGAGCCCAGGTTCTTGAATATGGCAATTAGGTTCCCCTTCAAGCCTCTGAACAACAAGCCTGCCTGGTAACGTGGAGAAAACTTTATACTGAGTGAGAGCATCCCTATGACCAGGCATGTCCCAGAATCCCTGAGCCTAGTCTTCAGAATCCTGTGGGCGGAAACATGGACTCGACGGTCATTAAGTCTTAGTAAGTCTTTATTCCTCTTTACTGCATCTGCAGAGAAACATCATAACTCCTTAGCTCAGGGGAGCAGATGTGTTATGAAAGGATGGGAAGGAAAAAATCCTGAACATAGAGGAACCTGTTTTGGGGCTGATGTTAATTCTGCTTCCCTCAGGAGCCATGAAAGCATTGATTTTATACCATTAAGTCTTCACATGTGACCATGAAACTGTTCTCAGCAACTTTTCTGTTTTAATATGTTTGTGTAAATCCTGATGTAGTTTCACAACTGTTACAATTGAGGCTTCAAAAGATGAAGGAGAAGACATCTCAAATAGACAAATTAGACTCTGTGGTACAACTCTGTTTATTGGCAGTGTGCATGCCTATAGATAATGGCAGCAACTTTCTTCCTACCCACCAAGATTCTCCTTCTCAGTCTATAACTAATGGTGAACAGATACAGTCTGTGAAGAGAGACTTGCATGTGTTTCAGCTCTTTTGGCAGAGGGTGAAGAAAATTCTGTGTTTTCCTTATAAAACGTATTATATTTTCCCTTCTAGCCAGAGCAGTAGTGTTTCCTGAGAGGATCCCTTCCTTAATGATGATAAAGTCGACCTGATAGTACTACTAGGACGTGCTACAGAGCCTGGTTTTCCTGACTATAGTTAGAAATAGACTGAGGGGACTCATACAGTATTTGTCCTTTTGCAACTGGCATATTTTGCTTAGCATAATGCCCTAATGGCTCACCTGTGTTGTGGCATGTGACACAATATTCTTTTTAAAAAAAAAAAAGATTTAATAATACTCCATTTTGTATATACCGTTTTTCCTTTTCCATTCATTGTCAATAGACATTTGGATTGTTTCCACTCTACCCCTTGTCCATTATAAATGATGCTTTCATGAACATGGGTGAAAATTTATCTTTAAGATCCTGCTTTGAATTCTGTTTGGATATATATCCAGAAGTAGGGTTACTGAATTATATTCTAATTTTATTTTTAATTTTAGTAGTATCTCCTTACTGCTTGCTCTCTGTACTACCTGCACCATTTTGCATTCCCATCACCAATGCACAAGGGCTCTCCAGATACTCAACACTTACATTCTTCTCTTTTGATAGTGGCCATTCTAGTGAGTATGAGTTGATGTCTCATTGTTTTGATTTGCATTTTCCTGATGATTAGTGAAGATGAGCATCTTTTTAAGTATTTATTGGCTA